GAAGCAGAGCCAAATGACGTTAAAGTGCAATCGATACGGGTTGCGCTGCAAATCACCCGACGTTAAAGTGCAATCGATACGGGTTGTGCTCCAAGTTTGCACGATTCTTAAGGCAGTATTGATGGTGTTAATTATGCTGCAGAGACAGGGGCTCCTTACAGCTGCATTAGCATCGAGCTAATGTTTATAAAATGATGCTGCATGTAAATGTGAGCAGGAAAGACGAGGAGGCAAAGCGGATGTTTCATCAGTTATAAGTGACATTTAAATTAGATGAGATTAGATGGACAGACACCAGAGCTAATGTTAGCTACAACAGTCTTGGTATAGACAACAGAGCTAATATTAGCTATAGCTACAACAGTCTTGGTATAGACAACAAAGCTAATGTTAGATAAAACAGCCCTGGTATAGACAACAGAGCTAATGTTAGCATTAACAGTCTTGGTATAGACACCAGAGCTAATGTTAGCTACAACAGTCTTGGTGCAAGACTTCCTAGATTTGTCTGAAGACTCCATTTCCACCAATGACCAACGTGTAGGTAAAGATCAGGTGCCACATGTGACCTACAGTCAAATACTTCATGGACAGGTCGAAGCAGTTGTTTTGATTTTATGGAGAAAACACCTCCCATTATCTGCCCCTGTTCTAATTAGCAAATGTTGAACAGGTGAATCAATACAGCGCAGGCAAACATAACACCCACTGAATAACGGAGCATTAGCATTATTGTATTTCCTGCCTTAGTGACCAGTGGTTATTAGTCAACATTCCTTATTAAAATGCCACGTTCTGCCTCCAGGTATTTGGTGTTGTTGTCTGACAAACAGCTAAATTCCATCAGTAAATCTTCGCTCCAGAGCTCAGTTTATTCAGGGAATTCCAAGATTTTATATTAATTAGCCACATCCTGTAACCCCCCCACCGTGCTAAGCTGCTTCGTGTTGACGTCAAGGTTAAAGCATCAAATTACACGTGGAGTTTTTTTTTTACCCCTCGTGTGACAAAGTGCAGCCATGCAAGTCAATTTAATTGGTTACAAATCAAAGAAGTTCGTCACCGTCGTCGACAGCTGTATTACAGCAGAGTGAGTGGGAAAACATCAGGAAGTTCATGGAAATGTCAGCGTTCCGTAAATATTTCCATATTTTAAACTATTTGCTCTTCTTTTCTGCCAAAACCTTTCACTCACTTTTATGTATCATTCTACTTTATCTTAAAAGATACACAAGGCTGTAGCCAGGAATGATAATAAGACTGGGGTCAGGTGTTCAAGTCCCACTGGTACAGCTGGAATTTTAACGACCTGGCTGTTATCCGTTCTGCCGGTTTCCACTGAAATATCAGTCGTAAACTCCACATAACTAACCACAGAGAAACTCTGGGATTTTTTTTTTCTACTTCCTACTTCAGCTGAATGTAAAACGGAATTATTAGTAAAATAGACACAAGTAGAGAGATAAATCACCGACGAAACCGCTGCACTCACAGGAGTTCAATTAAGTTAGAAACGGTAGCTGTTTTTACCTGGTGAAGTGAAGGCGGCTGTAAGATGTACTGTTTTTGGATCGTGACCCCATTTTGACAAATTTCTAGCAACCCAATAAGCCTATAAGTTGCAACCACATACTAAATGGCGCCTCCAGTGGCAGCCAATGTCAGTAGCCAAGACTCACTGAAATTTCAGTGGCTCTATAGTGGAGCGGTTAGCATGGCTGCCTTGGAGAGCAGAGAGTTGTGAGTTTTGATTCCCAGAGGGACCATATGTCCCCAATAGTGCCTCCTGTGGCAGCTTGTGTGGATTGCAGCGATTTTTTCATTCTAAAGAACGTAGCTCCATTTTCCCAAACTGCACCATGTTTTTTCAGCCGAATACTTGACTCAATTATTATTATTACTGTTAATAAACCTGCAAAAATCAACTCATACACAATACATTTATCATATTTTTTTTAAAAAAAGGTTTTCATTGTGTGATTGTGTCTAAGAACGTGGCTCCATTTTCCCAAACTGCACTCGTTCCTCCGTACGTCTTGTTTGTTGGCCGGTCGATCAGTGTGACACGCAGAATGACGTTAACCTGGGCTGCTGCTGCAGGAATGAAGCTGTCAATCTAAAACGCCTGCATCCAATGATGTGGTTTCCAGCACTTGTCAGGTCTAGTGCAGGCGGCCATGATGGGCTTTCAGAGGACTGGAACCATTCACCTCCGGCTGCGCGTGTGAACCACGGAGCCATTATCGCACATTCAAATGTTTCTGACAGGGTGTGTTTAAAAAGCTGCTGCCACATTTGCATGAAAATGATAAGTGATACTAATAAGCAGGGGCTGCCATTAAGCTAACTGTAGCAGAGTGGGCTGTTTGAATAGGACCCAGGCCTTGTTAGCTCAGTGGGATACAAAAAAAAAACAAAAAACCAAGATGTGACAAATTTAAAATTAGTTTTTATTTAAAAAAAAAAGTGAAAGTGTGGATAGACGTAGATGTTTGGTACAATGGAGCCGTACTAAAGCTGACAGAAGAAGAAAAGACGTGTCACCCAGTGGATGAGGGAGCGTTGTTGAGAAAGAATAGGAAAGAAAGAAACAGAGAGAGAAACTCTGAAGGCTTTGTTAAAGTGCCATGAGATATGGTTAAGTGCATAACGAATGCTGCTATTAACAGATCAGATCTGAACCGCACAGAAAAGCTGGAAATTACGTTTTTTTTTTTTATTCACTTTTAACAATAGAAGTTTTTTGAAACTTTTCAGTTTCAGTTTCTGGCTGAAGAACGTGTTTTCATCCTGAACGGCACAAACAATATTAATGGGAAACCATAAATCTCCCATAATTTATTACACTGACTTGATGCAGGATGAACCTGCAGTACTGGATATTTGCATTTGCAGGTAGGGAGATACTCACTCCTTTAAAAAATACTCTCTCCACGCTGTGTCCAAAACCAGACCCTGTAAAAAAAAAACAATTTTGGTATTTCCTCAGCCATTTCTTTTGTCTCAAAAAATAAAAATAAAAATCTCTCTTTACCAAAAAAACCACACTCAAAATAAATATATATATTTTCAATAATATACTGTATATTTTTTTATTCTCATCATAGATATGGGCTGACTAGAAATGCGTCAATTTACTGTTATACTACAAATTGTTTCTTAACAAAAACCACAAAACAAAAATATATGTGTATAAATATATATATATATATTTGGAAGCAGAAAAATTCATCAGGAACCACTTTTTTATCACCTCCTTAACGACCTGAACATTGATTTAATTACTCACAGCTCATTTGAAGCTGGAGGGAAATGTAATTATTCCCCATAATGCTTTGTTGAAAAATCTAAGCACAGTGTTTTTTGTTTTGCTGCAGAGTCAGTACATGAAAAATCTAAGCACAGTGTACAACGAGAAAACAACAGGAAAACAACGGGAAAACAACAGGAAAACAACAAGTAGATAAACGATGCTTTTCATTATATAGGAGGCACGACAACAGTCAGAGGAGCAGGAACAGGAAACAGTTCAGAGAACTCAGACTTTTTGGTGATTTAAATGATAGGTAGACAGATAGATAGATAGAGTTACTTATGAAATAAATAAATGAAACCATGAGTGAGTGAGTGACCCTGTGACACAGACACTCCACTGGTGTCGGCCCTTTGCCCACAGAGACCCATGAAAAAAGACCCAGCACCGTCGGTGTTCGATTCCTCTCAGACGAACAAAACACGTTGTGAAAAATGTCTCCATGAATATTTCACACGGCTGACGCTCGGCCTCTCTGAAGATAATTTGAATTTTAATACCATGGCCCCGCCACGAGAGGTGACAGAGAGACAGAGAGACAGAGAGAGAGAGAGAGAGAGAGATATGATGGTGTTGAGTGAAAGCCTTTAAAGAGAGCAGGAAGTGAACAGGCAGCAGCCAATAGAGGCTCTCGGACGTCAACACTCATCACCTGCTGATCCTGTTGTCGGCGATGCAGCAGCACTGATATTGGTTTGTGTATCACAAGACGTTTACCTTCTAAAGCAGCAAACAAACAGCTCTTAAAATGAACTCCAATCCCAAAGAGTGGCATGTGATTTTTTTTTTTATTCCCTAAAATGAAACATCACACTGTGACTGATGGATCATTTACTGCCAGAGAAGAATTACAGCTCCACTGACTCCAGAAGCTCCTCTCATTCTGAGTGTATTTTTCAGAGTCTGGAGTTTAATCCACCGCTCTGCAGAGCTTTGAACAGCAAACACATCAAAGAGTCCGAGAGGGTGTCGATGCACATAATTCAAATTATTCAAATGTGCCTCTCAGGGAAATCTCACAAACAGAAAAGTTGGTGCACCTCCGGAAGCGGCTGAATATTTAGGTTAAAAATAAGGCTGTCAAAACTCACGCTGCCGTGATTAACCAGTGAAATAAATCTGATAAAAACTTTAAACGCACTTTAACACATGGGCGCGCACTCTCGTTGATCTAATACACGGACGATAAATGTGGTGTTATTTGCGCACACTGTTGGGAAAACATTTTGTTAGAACAATGTACGTCAGACTGAAAATACCAAATACCAACACCCGTTTGTTGAGGCTTCGGCCTCAGGTTTGGTAAAGTTCCTGACCGGCCGGCCTGCAGTCCAGATCAGTTTCCTGGTAAAAACACACAGTTCATCATGAAGGTTAGAATCAGACAATGGAGACCAACGACTACTGTAACGAACCAAAAACCCATAGCATAGGTTATATGGGTCAGCTAGAGCGCCATCTGCTGGGGAGTACAATAGTTCTTAATATTTCATTTCATTTCATTTAATTAAGATAACACATCACCATCACCTTTGTCTATGAAGATAATGAGAAAATACCAAAAAAAAAAGAATATTTTCTGTTAGTGTGACTGATTTTCAGTTAAACCAAAAATACCTAGAGTCAACAGTGCAACAATTGTTAACAGTCAGGTATTTAAGAAATAAAAATTGGAATGTGACCCTGCGGTTAATTTTCTTTTTCTTTCTCCTTTCACTTATTACTGTGAGTAGAGCTGTGTTGTGTGACTACAGTTGGTTCTATTTCAGTTTCCTGACTTTTGATTTTAAATGATATCATTTGGTCGTTGTGCGTATACAGTCCACAGCTGATCCACTTGTGTTGGAGTTGGATTTCCAGTGTCACTCACAGCAGCAGCGTCGCCCAGTGGGACGCTGGGACTTAAAGATGTGACGCAGTGCAGAGAAAAGGATGCCTGCTTCCCATCATGCAGTTGTTCTGGCAGCAGAGTGTGGACGCCGGTCCACCGGGGTCTGTACCTGTTCCTGGTCTGCTCCATCTGAGGCGTGCACATAAAGAGAATCAGTGAGACTCTGTGTTCCTAATTAAAATCCATTAACAGGAGGAGAGCAGGTTCATCTGCAGTTCACGCCGAAACGTGTCATTGATTCGTTTGTGTTCCTGTAACGGAGGAGAAATTCTGAATGGTGGCCTCTCGGGGGAAAATGTGTTTACAAATGATCCCTTTGTTTGTCACACGTAATTGTTCATTTGACTGTCGGTCCGACAACAACATCTGACTTCGGGAATCAATCCCTCTACACACACAACGCCCTAGTTTTTGGTGCATTTCTCCACAAAGAAAGTACAGCAAAAAAGTTAACCAAAAAAAGGAAATACAAGTTTGACACAAGACAAAACTGTAAATTTGGGAAAAAGAACCAAAAACCAAAGTTATCAAAAAAAAAAGGCTAAAAAATATTACCCAAAATGTAACTCAAACACAGTTAAAAGGCGGCCAGAAATTAGCCAAATATTTATATTTTGTCCATGTATTGATGATAAAGCTTAAGATTTGGCAAAGAAAACATGAATTTATATAGTAAGAGGTTATAAGAAAAACTGCTAACGAAGTAATAAAAATTAAAGAAAGAGTAAGACAGCACATATTTTAATTTTCTGAATATTTGACTAAAGATGTCACACTGTACCTTTAAATGTAAAAAACATTATATATTCTGGATTCTCAAAAACATATTTTGAAGGAGAGGTAAAAAAAAAAAAAGTTGGAGAGGTTACTTGATGGTTCTTTTCAAACCTGGGGCTGTTTCCAAAACTCTTCAGAAATCCAGCAAACAGAGCCCTGTCAGAGGAAAACAGTGTGAAACACAACCTTGACTCCATATTCTACCACATGTGTTCAAACCTCACTCGGCCTCAGATGGAAGAAAGAGAAAAACACATGAAAATCATTGACCTGCTTTCACTTCCATCTGCTCCTCAGGTCTCACTCTGGCTCATTTTGTCACAGCGCCAGTGGTTTCCTGCCTGGCAGACACAGATCGGAGGCCTGGCCGGAGGAAAGAGCAGATCAGGCCACACACACACACACACACACACACTCTGACTTCAAACAGGAAGTCTGTATTAACAGTGACCAGAAGCTGAGTTCTGGCCCCTAAACGCAGCTCCGTGTCAAAGCTGAACGCTGATGAACCCTGTATTGTTTAGGCTGCAAAGTTTGGCCCTCAGGCAAGTGTGAAGTTGTTAGAACTCATATTTTTTTTTTACACTTTTCCTCAGAATTTCTCCTTTATATCCATCAGTTCTTAGTGACTTAAATAATCCTAAAACTTAGAAGCAACTGAAAATAACTCCGGTTTCAGTATTCCTCCAGTAAGAGGCAAAATATTAATCATCCAACCCTACTAGTTAGTGCTCCCTGATGGAGCGGCCATTTTGTTTTGTTTACTGTTTTCTATCTATCTATCTCAAAGAAACCAAACCAAAACCATTTTTTATTGATTAAAATATATTATAAAGACCAGAACATAAAAGAACATATTTGTGAAAAAGGTCTGTCAAAAACACAGAAAAGAGAAGCCTTGGCCTGTACATAAAACTGTAATCACATGTCAATCTGTAATGCAAGCTCCGCCCACTCTTCTGATGTAATGGCTGCCATCCAGGAAGTGCTGTAGCAGGTTCAAACCAAGAGAGGGAAATACAGAGAGTGTGTGTGTCTCAGATGAAGATATTAGCTTCTTACTAGCTAGCTAGCTTCAGTTAGCATGTTTAGCTTGAGTTCTAAAAAATGGAAAGGATTTATTTCAAACTGCCGGAGCAGAACAGAAGAACTGGCTTGTGGAGGACTTAACCTGAGGCCCAAAGTGTCAAAAACACAAAGAAAGACTGGAATAAAAACTGTGTGGGGAGTTTGGAGTTTTGAAGAAGACAAACAACAGCTCTGGACTTCAACAATTCACAGGTAAGTTCTGTTTTTTTTCCTTCTTCACCAGGTTTAATGTCAATGCTAACTGCTGTGGGGAAGCTAGCCCTATTCTTGTTACTATTATATCTGTTGTTATTTATGGTTGGTTGGAGTTTTGTCCAGGGATATTATTAGGTGTTTTACAGCAGTTTTAGTTCTTTGTGAAACTGTTGTTGGTCGATGCTGTAAATGTGTGTTGTAAAATGCATGAAATGAACAACTGGTGTTAGCTCGTGGCCTAGTGGTTGAAAAACTTACTGGTGCAAATCCTGGTCTAACCAGGCCCATGGGTGTGGTCAAAGAGTAGGCCCAGGGGCCGTCCACTGCTACTGTTTCATGGACAGATTTGATACTTTTTCTTCTTCGGCTCTTATTATTCTACTTCCTGTCATTTTATTCTTCCTTTCTGCCTTTGTCCTCTTTATCTATGTTCTTGTCTTCTTCTGTTTTGCTCTTTTTATTCTTTCTTATCCTCTTTTTTATCTTTGTAATCTTCTCATTCTTTTTGTCTTAATATTCTTCATTTTTGTCTTTAACTTTCTACTTGTCATATTGTCTTCTTCTTCTTCTTCACTCAGCCAATCCACTGTTCTTGTGTATTTTTTAAAAAAAATGTATATTAACAAAATCACAGAGTATCACAAGGTCTTAATCCATGTTTCTATGATCAGAATTTTCCCTCTCATTTTCATGTACCGTTCTCTGACACACACATACAGGAGCCCATTTTATTTGTTGTTTTGTTTTATCCAGTATATTTTCTGCTTGATTCTTGCTCTAATACATTTACAAAATCATCAGTTTGTGCCAGGGCTGATCGATTTATTCCTCTCTGTTTGCCACATTAATCATGAAAAGATCTTCACACGCATCTGTGCACAGAAATGTGAGTTTGTCCCTTTTTAATTGATGAATGATAGCGTTAGCATTGTGCTCTGGACGTTCTCAGCACCGGGGTCAGCAGCTTCCTTCTTGTTGTCAGGCTACAGGAGTAGATTCAGGGTTTGCTGTTCTGTATTTCAAGGACCACACTGATTGTGAAAGCTCACGGAGAGCGAGCGTGGAGGCTCGCATGGTTTGTTTTGACAAAGACCCACTGTGATTGACGGAAGCCGTCTTTGAAATCCGAACAGTCGGAGCCAATTTTCCCTCTGTGCTGCTTCCCCGAGAGCTGGTTTCAGGACCCCAGGCATGCTGAGCAACCTCAGAGACTCTTGGGGGGTTGGAAAAATTGCAATTCTTTACCGGCAGAGAAAGAAAGGTGGGAGTCTTTTAAAGAGGGCTTGCTTTGCACCTTCCTTTGCTCCCAGCGTGACATATTTTTAATAAGGGCACTGGCTGTCAGTGCACACACCTCTCACCTCCTCTCAATACAGTTTTTTTTTTGTTTAACTTAACAAGCAGTGCAATGCCAGTTTTTTGCCAAAGCTTCAAAGAGGTTGAAAAAGCAGGAAAGCTGCAGCAGCAGCAGACACGGAGGCATGAGCTGCCACCTGTCAATCAGCCGTGCATCCAGCATCCAGGTCTGACACGTTCTTGGAAAATCTGTTTATCCGCTCTGATCAGATCAGCCTGTGCAGCAAACGGCAGGGGTAAGTGACGGCTTAAGGAGCCGCTCCTGCCTGACCCGCGGCTCGGTCAGCCTCAGAGGAGAGTGATTAGAGTGTTGGTTTACCGTGGCTGACATCATTGGCTTCCATTTACCACGCTGAGACTTCCTTTAATTAGGGATCCTCTCTGGTGGTGGGGAGAGGAACTGACATGTGGAGATGTAACGATTAAAAGAGCCTCCGTTTAGTTTTTGGGTGAAAAACTGCAACTGGCCCGTCAGCCCCTCTCCCTCGGAGCCCATTCGCAGCAGCAAATGTCCTGCCAGTGAAGGCAGGACATGACATAAGTGGAGGCAGCTAAGTGGAGATGGAATTAGTCAAAAGTACTCTGCTGAGAAACTCGGAGGTTGAACAGATGGACAATTAATAGAAGTGAAAATATAGGAAGTACACACTCACACACTCACACTCACCAGAGAGACTGAGTCTGCACAGAAATAAATGTTGCCCTTTTTTTAAAAAAACTTAGATTTAGTTTTAAAAATGAAAACTTTTTTTCAGAACAGGCTGCCGACCTGCAGTGACGGCGGCACAAAGAGGTGATATTACCTGCTCAACAAAGAGCCGTCGCAGACTTTATTGAAACTAAATGCAGTTTAAAATTCAATTCGACAAATATCACCACCTCACTGTCAGACACCGTCTGTGTTTTTGTCAAAGGAAAAACCACCTATTGATTGTATAACAGACAGTTGGTGAAGGGGGGGGGGGGGGGGAGAGAGGGGGGGGGGGGGGGGGGGGGGGGGGGTGGGACATCCTTCCCTCACAGACGGTCACTTCGTTCGTTCGTGTTGAGCTTCTGCAGTAGACTATAAAACACTGGGATGACTGTACCTCTGACTGTGAACGATCGCTTGGCTCTATTTATGGCCGTGTGTCTTCCTCCGAGACCCGAATAAAGGAGAAATCTGCCATTTTTCAACACATATCACTGTTGTCCTTGTACTAGTTCAAACTGTGTCCAGGGAGCTGCTCCATGACGAGCCACGACTGGTCAGAGCTGACAAGAGACGGAGGACGGGCAGCACGTAACCACGTGTCCTGGCCGGTGTCATGTCCCCTATTTTTAATGTTTCTGCTTCTGAAATGTGGTTTGGTGTGATGGAGATCGGTTCTTCCAAGGTTAAATCCTGGATTTAGTTCTTCAGTAAACCTCAGTGGGATCAGATAGCCAGATTTTATAAGTTTGGATTGGACCATGGTAGAACCGTGATCTGGTAGAGTTCTAGAAACCGGTTCGTAGCACAAACAACGTTTTGATCTCTGATAACGTTGGCTAACCTCGAGCACCATTTGGTGTTAACAGTTAGGTGGTGTTGTGTTTTTCTATCGCTAACATGAAGCTAGTCTTTTCTTAATATGTGTCGATGCTCAAACATTATACTAGCATTTATCTGGTTCTTAAACTTTAGCTTTGTTTTTCCTCTCATTTGTCTGGTTTCCAATAAACACGTTCTTAGTTTTTTTGTATATTTTTTGAAACATGGAATTAATTTCATGCTAATTTTTGGTATTTTGATTTTTCTTGTGTTGCCTGGCACTTGCAAACGTACCACAACACTTGGTTGTTGACTTTGCTTTCTAATAATTGACATATATTAAAGAGCTCCTTTATTAATAAACAACTCGGCTCAACCTGCAAACATGTCACGACTCCGTACAACAGCACTGTGTCATAATAATCAGCCCTTTATATCAGTGGCCTTAGGCTGCAGACTGTGAGCAAATGAATGACACAACATCGAGTCATTATCACAGTGGGAAGCTGAGAACCAGGTCTGTGACCAATGACGCTGACATTAAACCCCAGTCCGATCGTTGCTACAATTATTCCTACGTTACCCGATATCTGAGCAATGAAGGGAATGATGTCAGAGCAGGTGTCTAACTGTTAACTGTTAACACCTTCTCTGGTGCACGACACCACAGGAACAATAGTATCAGAGGACGGTTCTCCATGTGCATTTGTTTAAAATGGATGAAGTGACACTGGTTCAGGACGGTGGCTCGGATCAGACGTACACCTCAGGAGTTGTATTAAATTTTTGGTCGTATTTGGTAACGCAGATATCACACTGTAGCCGGCCCAGATAATCTGAGATTAACTGGTGAACTTTCCAGGCTGTACCCCACCCTCATCTGATGACGGCGGGATCGGCTCCAGCTCCCTCCGCCCTTACACGACCCTGAATAGGATTAAGGGATAGAAGATGAAGATAATCCAGTGATGGAGTGTTTACAGACATAGTAATAAGTGGTGGACGTCTGGATCTGAAAATCGATCATTGTGAATAAGTTCTAGGCAGCAATTTTGGATGTGAGAAGCAGAGACGCTGGACCAAATGAGTTACCAAAGACAAATGGTTGGTTTTTTTTTTTTTTTTTTTTTTGCAATAGCTAAAAATGATTTCTTCATGATCCGCTCACTACTACCTTAACGTACCATCATCCAGGCCGCCATCATAACCTTAACTGTTCACGACTGACCCTAGTTTTTTTTTTTTTTCCTGATTGGACAATGAACACTCGATACATTAATGCCACCTAGTGGGAACTAAAACAGCGAATGTTAAATGTATTATTTTTTCTGTAACTAATTATTGCATTTAATGCACTAATTTTTTGTTTTAGTAAAAGTTTTACATATTCGACAAAAAAAAAAAAAATGCAACTTAGGACTAGCACGTTTTGATGACAGTAAAGTCAGCCTTCCTTTGTTTCTCCTTCACTTCCATCTTAAAATCTCCAATCATTAATGTGGTTTTTAAGCCTCTTCCTAATTCCTTAAATGCTTCCCTGTGAATGATAAGGGATTTTAAGAGATAAATTCCAGATTATCAACAGTGGTTAAATTGAAGCAGGCATTTTCTGCCCATTGTGGCCTGAGGAGAGAGATTACTGTACAGCGTCATCTTGATAAGAAGCAGCAGCAGCAGCAGCAGCATTGTGCAACAGTGTTCCCTGTGGTAAAGCGTGCTCGCACAACACTCCTGTGACCTGAGTACCAAGAAGACAATCAATCATTAAGGGGAGACGTGTCAGAGAAAGCTAACATAACAGAAGGAGGTGATCAGGCGATCCACCAGGCGGAGTGTGAGGATCTTCCTACAGGGAAGATAGATCTGAGTTTCTTCTTTTTTTTTTTTTTTGGGACGACAAAACAAGAAGCTCAGAGTCTGCAGATTAACTGGTGCAGTGGGCAAAGCAGAATTCAATCTATTTTGATATCTGTGGTTGTACTTTTGCCAAATTTACTCCAGGAACAGAAGGAAACTGCTGTCTCTGCTTCATACAAAAAAAAAAAAAAAAAATCCTCCATCAGCTCTCCGTTGTCTCGCTATCTCTTTAACAGAAAGAAAATCTATCAATCTAATCAATCTATACACATCTTTAGCCGAACTATTTATAATAGTTCATATTTCTGCTCCGTGACCTATGACCTACAGACCACGTTTGTTTAATTTCACCATCTCTCGCCTTCATTTACAGCAGACGAAGGTGTGTAATTATAACAAATGGAGGTTATTTCTCTTTAGACTGTAGGTCAGTGCACATTACTCATAGCCGAGCGCCACCGCTAATTCAATTATCAGGTTAGGATCTAATCGAATCAAATTATCACGTAGAGCAACGATGATCAGTATTGATTTCTGGGTTATCGTTCAGTGACCTTTCGGCAAATTCGTTCCTCATTTTTCCTCATTTTCATGGAAAATGCCAATCTCTCATACTATATGATCAGGCAAATATTTTTATTTTTATAGATTTCTGTTGTGTATTTTGGCCAAATATTATTTTCTTGATTGGTGTTTATTTCAAATGTTGTTTTCTCTCTTTGACAAATATTTAACCTCTAAACTGTGGCAACTTTAAAATACCGCAAAACCTGGTTAATTTCTATTAAAATGGGATACTCTAAACTGTGGCAACTTTAAAATACCTGGTTAATTTCTATTTAAATGGGATAAAAAAAAGCAGTGGATAATGTGTTAAAGCTTATGAATTTTAATAAAAGTAAAAACGAATTTCCATCTGCAGTTTTTAGACTTCACTCTAATGTGACTCTGACTCGAACAGTCTTTTTGGAAGCAGCACGAATTTCCATCTGCAGTTTTTAGACTTTGACTCGAACAGTCTGTTTGGAAGCAGCATTTTTTTTTTTCCTGAAGTGAATTTCCTCAGCCTTCCCAGTTTTCTTTAATATGAGATGTGAGGCTTCTGAACTCACGGCTCCCTCTACAGTCTGCACGGAGGAAATGTTTTTCCATCCAGTGAAAAGCAAAGCACAAAAACAATCAGACAGAAGTGAACAGTCAGAAGGAGAAGAAGGAGGAAGAGGAGGAGGAGGAGGAGGAGGACGCGGCAGGAGGTGGGGGTTGGACATGTCCCGCAGATTATAAGCAGCCCTCGCGCTGCTCTGGAGCTTGACTTGTCCGTGCGTAAAGCAGCAGCGGCGGATGCGCAGAGAAACATCAGCCGCAGCTCAGACGCAGCGGGATTTGTGTTTATGTCCGTTTGATTTGCAGCGTCTCTCAGCGTGGAGTCGGATCCAGTGTTTCCCGAGGACAATGGGAAAATGTGCCATTGTTGGAGTTCTTGAGGAGTGACGACAACTTCGCTCCTGTGAGACTTTTGTGTCCAAGAATAATAATAATAATAAAAAAAAGAATCTCGGGACATTGAAGGATTTAAAACAGTGCACATGGATGAGTGCAGTTTGAGGCTGTGGACACCCTGCAGCGGAGACAGACAGCGATGCTGACCATGATCTCGCCCCTGGATGTCGGTGCTGCGGCTCGGTGTGGCTGCGCACGGAGCCCCGGTGCGGCTGTGACTGTGCCTGACACGGACTGGGGCTGACGGCGGCGGCGGCGGCGGCGGTGGTGGTCAGGACATGTTCTGCGGTGGAGGTCGAGTGATGGTGTTGGCCGTGGCTCCTGACATGTCAGGCTCCGGGATCCAACGTTTTTCACTGCGAGGACGCAAGAAAACTGGCACGAAATGTGGAATTTTTTCCGTTTGACGTCTTGGGATTACATCTAAAAAAAAAAAAAGAAAAAAGAAGGAGGTGAAGGGGAATGTGAGACGCTCATCTCTCTCCTTGCACATTTTAATGCATTAAACGTCATTTCTCTGACTTTATAAACTGTTCCAAGTGGACACGGATGGTGTTGCTGTTGCACTAAAGTTTTTTTCCCCTAACGTTTATGTACTATGACGCACAAGACAATGACTTTTGGAAACATGAACTTATGAACTATGGACTGTAACCCAGATTTCACAGTTGGAATTTTTAGATTCTTTCAACCAATTTAAAGGTAAAATACATTGAAAAAAAAGATGCCGAGGTAAAGTTTTTTTTCCTCTTTTTTCGTGTTGATTTTTTTTCCAGCCAAAGTTTTTTTTCCTCTTTTTTCGTGTTTTTGATTTTGATTTTGTTTTCAGCTGCAGAGAAACTTTAATCCAGATTCCATACACCAATATGGTCCCATATGCAATTCAAAATGGCATTTAATTGGGTACTACATGCAGTTTTTTTACTACCTCTCTTGGCAGTGGCATCTGCCTTCTCTGGGGTGTTCAACACCACAGACAGAGACATGTTCACTGATGACCTGCTGCAGGTCACGCTGACACAAGACCGAGCGTCGGAGCAGTGGAAACTCCACTCTGTCGTCGACTCGCACCCAAACCTGTACTTTAACCAGGCAGACGTGCCACACTTGAGGCAGCGATCCACCACCACCCACAGTCACATATTTAAAGTCATCAGGGCGGCCGTGCTCACCATGCTGGCTAATGTTCCCTTTTACATACCACCCGTGAAACATGAGGAGTTTACAAGCAAATGGAACGAGATTTATGGGAACAATCTGCCTCCGCTGGCCCTCTACTGCCTGCTGTGCCCCGAGGACTCGGCTGCTCTGCAGTTTCTTATCAGATTTATGGACAGGATGGCAGACTATCCCGACTGGAAGGTGACCAGTGCGCCCAACGACGAGGTACCCATGGCACACTCTCTCACAGGGTTTGCCACTGCCTATGACTTCATTTATTCCCAGCTGGATGAGCGCAGACGGAGTTTCTACCTTAAGAAAATACGCTCGGAGACAGTGGAACTTTATGAGCTGTCAAAGTACAGAGGCTGGGGTAAACAGTACCTCCAGAATCACCAGACCACAAACATACTAGCCATTCTCACCGGTGCGATAGTAGTCGGCTCGCATGACGACCCAGAGTCCATGCTGTGGAAACAAGTGGCGGTGAACTACATGGAGAAAACCATGTTTCTCCTAAATCACATAGTCGATGGCTCCCTGGATGAAGGAGTAGCATACGGGAGCTACACAGCTAAGTCCATCACGCAGTACGTCTTCTTAGCGCAGCGCCACTTTAGCATTGACAACACGCAGAACAACTGGCTGCAGGGACACTTCTGGTTTTACTACGCCACGCTGCTGCCAGGCTTCCAGAGAACAGTTGGCATCGCAGACTCCAACTACAACTGGTTCTATGGTCCGGAGAGTCAGCTGGTCTTCCTCGACACATTTGTCATCAGGAACGGGACCGGAAACTGGCTGGCTCAGCAGATTAGGAAACACCGACCCAAGGATGGTCCCATGGGGCAGTCGTCAGCCCAGCGCTGGGCCACACTTCACACAGAATACATCTGGTTCAACCCTCACCTCACACCGCAGCCTCCACATGATTTTGGCAGGGCGAGGATGCACATTTTCTCTAACTGGGGCGTGGTAACGTATGGGGCAGGACTTCCCAACGGCCAGGGTAATACTTTTGTCTCCTTTAAGTCCAGCAGGCTGGGTGGCCGTGCTGTTTATGATATAGTCCATGACAAGCCTTACTCCTGGGTGGACGGCTGGAACAGTTTTAACCCTGGCCACGAGCACCCAGACCAAAACTCCTTTACGTTTGCCCCGAATGGTCAGGTCTTTGTGTCTGAAGCTCTTTACGGGCCAAAGTACAGTTATCTTAACAATGTTTTGGTGTTCAGCCCGTCTCCTACCAGTCAGTGTAACAATCCCTGGGAGGGTCAGTTAGGGGAGTGTGGGAAGTGGCTGAGGTGGACTGACGAAGGTGTAGGTGATGCTCGAGGGGAGGTGATTGTCGCCTCCTCACACAGAGACACCATGTTTGTGAGTGGGGAGGCTGTGTCAGCTTACTCCCCTGCTATGAGACTAAAGAGTGTGTTCCGGGCGCTGGTGCTGCTCAACTCACAGACTTTACTTGTAGTCGATCACGTAGAGAAGTCAGAACAGTCTCCCCTGAAATACTTCAGCACATTTTTCCACAATCTGGACATTGACTTTAAATATGTCCCCTTTAGATTCATGGACAGGTTTAACGGTGCCATGATGGACGTGTGGGACGCTCACTATAAAATGTTCTGGTTCGACACGCAGGGTCACAGCCCTGACACGAGAATCCAGGAGGCAGAGCAGGCTGCAGAGTTTAAAAAGAGGTGGACTCAGTATGTTAATGTCACTTTTCCCATGACGGGCACAGTCAGCAGAGTAGCCTATGTCCTACATGGGCCGTACGTCAAAGTGTCCAACTGTAAATTTATTGATAACGGCAAGAACGGGGTGAGACTGTCTTTAATCATTAACAACACAGAGAAGATAGTGTCTATAGCTACGAACTACAAAGATATTGGGGCCAGGTTGAGTTATTTAGGATTTGGAGGTCACTGTAAAGTTGAAGATGGATATCAAATCACTCGATTTGGCCTCGGGACCCAGTTAATCCCCAAACAAATCAGCGCTGATAATCAGCTGTTTGACTTTGGATTTGCAGTCAACGTGATAGCGGGCGTTGTTCTCTGTGTGGCCATTGGTTTTCTGACCATGCAGAGAAAGTTTTATGTGTGTTTCAGCAGATTTATGCGTTACGCCCTGCTCTCTGTGCTCATCCTGTGGATCGCAGAGCTGCTCTTTGTCTCCAACAGCTGCGATCAGCTCCTCTGTGGGGTGAAATGGAAAGGCGCTGGTGCCAGAAGTGAAGTAAATAAACAGATCAGACTGTACGAGCAGCACCGGCTCCCGCTCCCTACTGTTGTCATCACCACCCTTCCTGGTTCGGGGTCAGAAATACTCAAACATCTTTTCTACAACAACTCTGATTTTCTTTACATCAGGGTTCCCACCGAACACGTAGACATTCCCGAAACTGAGTTTGAGTTTGACTCCCTTGTCGATGCCTGTGAGTGGTCGAGGTTGGACGCCGTGAATGGACGGTTTAAGATCATCCAGGGCTGGCTTCACTCCCTGGTGCACAACGTGAAGCTGCACTTGCAGAATATTCAGCTGGTGGAGAGCAGTAGGGTTAAACAGCCCCAGAGAGTTACCACCTCCAGGGACCGCAAGAAAAGGTCCCGGAGAAGGGAGCAGACGTCTGAGCTGAAGGGCAAACTCAGAGCTAGCCTGGACAGAGACGCAGAGTACGTCAGGGAGATGAGACACCACATTGCCCAGTATCCTGACGCACGAGTTGTCCTCAGCATGAGAAGTGGAAGCTGGGCAATCAAACTGCCTTTCATTCAGGAGGTGGTGGGAACCTCTCTGAGATCCATCTACCTGGTCAGAGACCCCCGTGCGTGGATTTATCTCATGCTTTACAACAGCAAACCCAGCCTTTATTCCCTCAAAAACATCCCTCAGCACCTTTCCTTGATATTCAAGGAGGACACCGTCAAGGATGGTTGCCCCAGTGTTGCACCAGAGTTTAAAATCATCCAAAGACTCCTGTCTCGTTCAGAGACGAACCCTGTCCTGATCTTGGCTCACCTGTGGCTAGCTCACACCGCAGCAGTGCTGAGGGTCAGTGAGAGCCTTCCTGAGGAGTCCTACCTTCAAGTCAGGTTTGAGGACGTGGTCAACTTCCCGCAGGAGACAGCAGAGACCATACATGAGTTTCTGGGGGTGCCTGTCTCCCCCGCCGCCCTCAACCAGCTCATTTTCACCACCTCCACCAACCTGTACAATCTGATGTATGAAGGAGACATTTCACCCTCCAACATCAACATGTGGAGACGGAATATGCCTCGGAGAGACATCAGACTGATCGAGGACGTGTGTCTGAGTGTGATGAAAAGGCTGGGTTACGTCAGATTTGGTAGTTAACTCACTGCTGCTGGTCAGCTTGTTTACTGTAGCTGCCATCGTGGTTTTTTTTTCTTCTTCTGTTGTTTGCACTGAATTTAATTTTTTTAAGTTGAGGAAAGACTGGCAACAAATTTTTATGTTTATGTTTGAAGAAGCCTGGACAGAGACCAGACGTGGTCTGTTGGGAAATGTTTCCTAACATCCGGTGTTTTTAAAAACAAGGCTCTTTCTCATTGAATTTATAACCTCAGCACTCATTTTCTGAAAGATCTTACTGCCTAATTCAATATGTTTGGGTCTTTTACAGAAAGCAGTTGGTGAATGTAGATGTTATTTGGAGTAAATAGATAACTGGCAATGGGGGGGTTGTGGTACAAGTGACAGTTTTCATGCAAATATGTAGGTCGGGGCCCACATACAGTTCACAGAAGATATCGTTACGGTCGTGATATAATCTCTTACTGGTCATTGTTTTTAAGCTCCAATTTTAAGATTATTTTAAACAAAACATTGTAGCCTGTCAATCACCTGCAGTACCCACTTACTGTCTATTTACCTTAAAATTTAAATTCAAATATTATAAAAATAATACAGATTATAAATCAAAAGTAAACCTAGAAATAGCTCAAAGTTACACGGCCAAAGTTTTTAGGCCAGAGGTCGCAAGTGGCCCTGGCTAAGTGTCAATGGGAGTGCCTACAAAGCAGCAACACTCCTAAAAGTTAGCTCCTACTTAATCTCGCCAAGTGCCGATTCCAGTCCTCGAACCAGAGTTTGGACACCACTGGTACACAGTGTATGAGGTGTTTGGTTTTGTGTTAGTTTGAGAGGCTTTGCTGTGAGGTGTTTGTGTTATAATAATAATGTAGGGTGAAAAGAGCTTTTTAAAAATTCAAGTTTTTTTCTTCTTTGTCTGGCAGTAAATTCAAAGCTGTTCTGTTAAGAGCCACTTTAGACCCTTTACTTTAGAAGGATGTCACTGAGTTTTAGCTTGAGTTTCACCTTGTTGCAGCATGGACTTCACTCAGTGAAGGTTATTTACTGCTTAGTGTCTTAGTCAAAGATAAAAAGCCGGAGTTTTTTTTTTCTTCTTTTTTTTTCTCAGCCTTTTTGTTTTTCTTTCTGCCCTCCTTCGCTGATCTGTGGCGTTTGAAGAATCTATATCCCTTTTCCACAGAGCTCATTAGGAAATACGACGTGTATTTATTGACAGTCTGAGTTTTTGTCGGAGAATTACGGAGGTTAATCCGCTGCCAGGAACCTTCGCTATATGAACTTATTCCTTTAAGAAACTGTAAATAACTGCTGCAGTGTGTGGAGACGCACCGCCATGACAGTCACTGTTTATTAACGCTGTGATAAAGGCTTAGTATTTCATCTTCATTACAGCGGGAGAGGGATTTGTTACTTTAAAAGATGTTATGTTTGAACTCAAAGATGTCACAGCAGCTCAGTGGTGTTAGCGTTTTTCTGTTGAGTGTATGTGGGATATTTTTCTCCAACTCACTAAAACTTTGTTTATTAGCTCTGAAACCTCCCAAAGTACTGGGGAACAGAGGATTTGAAGTTTTTTTTTTTGTAATCAGCTCCCATAAACACACTTCACAGGAAAAGGGTAAGGACACAGAAAAAATAGTAAAAACAATAATGCTGACTCTGAAGCTAGAATTCACACAACGCATTCAAATGTTTACTATAAAAGAGTTATATGTTTATATTTTAGTCTGAGTTTGAAAGTAATATTTTCTAAGAAAGAGAATAGCATTCAGAGAAAAGTTCAACTTTTGACCTATCTTGGCTAGTCAGGATCCAGATTCACAATTCTTGTCAAAAAGAAATTCAATTTCAGAAAAAAAAGTGAGTAATTTTAGAAAGAAAAATCTCAGATTCTTCTCTTCCATCTCAATATTTTGAGAAAACTGTCTTAAAAATTGAGAAAATAAATGTACAATATATTTTTCCACAGGGAAACAAATCAGACCTGTGTGAATCATATCAGAATATTGTGTAAAATAAAAATAAAAATTTCAATATCAGAATATTGTGTAAAATAAAAATACAAATTTCAAATCCTGACTTTATTGAGGAAAATCATCCTCTATAAATAAATATCATCGTCTCAGATTAGATTACTGTATGTCAGAGTTATTTATGAAATTAAAGTAAAAAATCTGACTTGTCAGAGTTATTTATGAAATTAAAGTAAGAAATCTGACTTTAATCTAAATAATTTAAGACAGTTATAAATTATAAGGAAATATATAAATATATTATAAATATAAGTAAGGCAGTGGCAGACATCTGTTTCAGATATCTATTTCTGTTGGCAAAATAAAACCCTAATCATTTCTATACAAAAACAGACCTTGTTGATCGGAGCGTTTTCCCAAACTTTCCCTCTTTAACATTCTTGTATTAGTCAATTTTTTTTTTTTCCACAACTGAATCTGATCCAGTTTCACTTCTGTGATTGAATCATTTAATGGAAGAAACACATGCTTCCACTTCCTTTTGTGGACGGACTGAATTCCAGTCATATTTTTTGCACATGTCTCCGTCCTGAAAGAGTAAATATTTGAAAACGTGGGAGTTATAAAAAATTCCCCGGGAGCATTTTTACTCTCATCTTCTGCTTTTTTGAGCGACGTCAAAAACGCCGAACGCCTTCACTTACATCTCTATAATGTTCCATATGTCAATCACATGGTCTGCGGGCTCGATTATGGACTTTTTGTTGCATAAAAATGCCAAAAAAACAGCACACTGTGGTCGTTTTGGGGAGGAATCCATCTTTTTATTTGAGCAGAACCAGCTGTGTTTGTTTCATTTTTCTTCCTGAACTGTTGGAAGCCTGTTTGATGTTTGTGGTTGTTTTTGAGTGTGTAGACTTGGCAGACATGCTTTCACTTTGGTGTTGTTGCAATCCTGTTATACACACACTCTCTTTTGTATTTTGCTGGTACAGATATAGTCCCATGCTTCTGTGGCCTTGAATAACAATCATGTTCTGTCCAACTGTCTTTTGTTTCTGTGGGTTCTGGAGCAGAAGGTGACGGGGTAATGTATAAGAAAAATATTAAAATTCACAAATATACCAGAGCGCCGTTCATCTGTGTAGTTCATGAACCACGAGTTCAGAAAAGGTGAAAAATAATATTTTTATTTTGTTACTTGTAACTTAACTCATTGGATGAAATTATTTAAAAACTCATTAATGTCATTTATTTAATTAATATATATATTTTTTTTATCATTTTGAACAGAGGATGCTCGCTGGTGCATGATTGCAAGTACAGTTTCTTCACATTGTTGGTATAAAAATAAATGAGCTGCTGTAGTGTCGGTGTTCACTGTCGGGCTGATCAGTTATTCAGTCAACAACAAGAACCTAAAATAAGTTAACTTAGTTAAGTTCTACTATACTCCTAGTTATAGTTGATAACAATATATATATATATATATATATATCAATGCATTGAAAAAGATTTTTAAAAAATATTTTTTTCCTTATTAGCTTTCCAACAGTATTCCAAAAATAATCAAAACTCAATCTGAAAAAGGGCAAAAGAATGTTGGTAATGTATTGAAAAATAGCAAAAATGCAGGATAAAATATAAAATACATAGCTAAAGACAAATGTAATGTTTGGCCTAGAGTGATAAAATATAAAATACATAGCTAAAGAAAAATGTAATGTTTGGCCTAGAGTTACTACTACTCTCTTACAAATACGTACTGTACATAATACAGTAGCTTATTGTATACTACAATAATTACTACAAATATTATTACAGTACAAGAACACCTAATGTTACCACGATCACTACCAGTTACTACTGTACAACCTCAACAGCTAATGCTAATGCTACATTAGCACTTATTACGGCTACTAGAAGAGTTAATAGTCCTGCAACCATAACTAACCTCTGAAACAAAGAGTTTCCCAGGATTCAGCTGTAGTAAATGACAGAGATTATAAAGTCTTCCTCTCACCAGTTAATTAACCAATTAGTTTTTTGTTTTTTTTTACCAATTACAGATGTCAGTTTCTGTCCCATTTTCAGGAAGTGGACCAACTTTTTTTGGTGACGAGTGTTGCACCGTGACGGCCCTCTTTAGCTGAAGACATGTTAAACAGGCTATTAGCGTCCAGTAAAGGCAGAGAACGTACATTTCTTTTGACCACGTTAAACGTAAACTCCCTAATAAAATGTCTTACAGCTGCAACAATTACGCAGCGACAAAGTCTCCCTTTTTTATTAGACACGCTTGACAGAAGCCTAATTGCTTACGTGCGGTTGACAGGCATGACAAGACGAGGCGGCCAACAATTAAAACCACGTCAGGAAATGCTGCTGTCATGGTCCGACTGAGACGGGAAAAGGTTCGCAGGGCGGGAGGGAGAGGGAGAGGGGGGAGAGGAATACAGCAGAAGCAGCAGCGTCTCCAGTTTCATAACGGTCTCTGTGAGTCAGTCCCTTCATTACTCATTTGTTCTTGAACCTCCCTCCCCCCCCCTCCTCACACCCCTCCTGCAAATGCTCCAGTGCTTGGCAGTGTCCTGATGTCTAATCCTACCAAGCAGAGTCACATTATTCACTGGAAGAAGAAAAAAAAGCTTCTGGCAAACACTGGGAGGGAGATTTCTACAAGTCTGGACTTGTGGAAAGACACTGGATGTTACTTAGTCTCATTGGTTTGGTGGGACTGTAAAGAGAGACACTGACGACTGACGACTGACGACTGAGGCAGAGATCAGGGTTCAGTTTGGTTCACTGTTCCCACGGAGGAGTTCGTTAGACAAATATGAGACAGAAGTCAGTTCATCACCCTGACTACGTGATGTGATCATCTGTGACTGCAGTTTCTAAAGAACCCAAGATCCTCTTTATATATATATTTATATAAACATATATATAATTTATTCATTTATATTATTATTAATATTATAACTAAAACTTGTATTGAATCAATAGCTACTTCTGCAACTACTACAACTACAGCTAGAGTACTAGAACAACACTTGTAGTACTTCTAGTTCTATGTCGGTTTCATAGCGTAGCGGTTAGCGGAAGCCGAGAGCAGAGAATCCTGGGTTCAATTCCCAGAGGAACCACATGCTTGGCGCTTGCTTGGGGCAGCGTCACAACAACCTCCCAAATATGGGATCAATATAGTACCAATTTATTTTATTTTTTATTTACAATAATAACAAAAGCTTAAGCAACTACAACTACAAAAAACTACTACTATACAAAGACCCAGTAATGCAACCATGACTTGATCCACACTAACAACAATAATTACAATAGCTTAAGCTACTACAACCACAAAAAACTACTACTATACAAAGACCCAGTAATGCAACCACGACTTGATCCACACTAACAACAGCAGCTACTCCAACTACAAAACTACTACAACAGTTATTAAAACTGCAACACATGTATTGTACAAGTACTGCATCAATGGTAGTACCCACAGAGTACAATGACCAACACTCTGTTTACTCTAATCTAATAAAGGCTCAGTTCTAAAGGCCAATAGAACGCAGTAGTAGTTTGAAGTAATATCATATTCTAAAGGCCAATAGAACGCAGTAGTATTCTGAAGTAATATTAACAGTACACGTTCACCTGACGAACCCGTTGTATTATTTCAGCTCCCGCTCATATTTTTGTCTTTTAGCTTCAAACGTCCACTTTCACCACAATCCATTTGCCCGTCGACAGCCTCGAGCTCAGACCTGATAAATATTGCAGGACCTTCTCTATCAATAACTCGTTAACATTTGCAATTACAAATGACTAACTGATCCTATAGCGTGCCTTCTTACACCCAACTCCGGACCCTGAAACCTTCCCTGCTAATGACTTTGGCTCTGCAGGAGCCCATCCTTAATGACTTGTTAATATTTATAGCCACAGCACTGATTGCTTATATCTACAGGTTTATAAATAGTTAATAAAAGGATTGTGATTGGACCAGATGTCCTGCAGCTAAAAGAGGAGAGAATCCGTGTTTTTGTGCAGGCAGATCAACAACAGCTCAGAAATCGCTGTCAATAGTCTCATTACTGAGCTGCTAACTAATATATAAGGAATGTGACTTGTTGGACAGTAAAAACGCTTCGGGTTTTTAAAAGATTTATGTTGCTGTGACTAATGAAAGAGAGTGGGAGTCATTATTTTATACTTTACATCACGACTGTCAGATTCCTCCCCCACAAACTGTTGACATTAGCAATGAGTAGAAATAAATCCACGTTCATTGACCGAGGTTATTATCATAAAAGATGACTGCGTGATGAACGTGTGCTGGGAAAACAATCGTGTTTAATGAAGAGGGGACGCTATAATAACTTCAACTGACGTGGAAATCAAATCAAATTCATATAAATGGAAATAAACGGCTCCATAAATTCCGGATCTTTGACATTTGTAACTGGTGTTCTTTAATCAAACTAGAATTAAGTTCAAATAAACAAGGGATGAGATGAGGAACAAAAGAAAAGAAAGAATAAATAACAGTGGAATAAAACAGTCAGAAGGTTAAAGTCAAAATGAGTTTAATCACAATTATAAGTGTGTAGATAAATCAAAATAAACCAAACCCAAAGATAAGTTTACAGAATAGATAAACAAGGCACTTAGAACATAACAACTATCTAAACTTAGAGCAAGGACAGATTTAGCTAAATGTTAGCCAAAAGCATAGCAAAATATATTTATAATAATTCTAAATAAATAATACATTTTTAGTCAAAACAGACTTTTTACATTATTATTCAAATAAAATATCATGTGAAATTATTGCAGAACTAATTATTTATTCAAATAAAATATCATGTGAAATTGATGTAGCGCAGAGAGAGGTAGCTTTATTGTATAACTCTGCTAAAATTATTGCAGAACTAATTAAATATAGCAAGGTGCTAAGTACACCTAGCGCAGAGCTAGTTAAATGTAGCATAGAACTGGGCTGTCGTTTAATGCTACAAACCAAATGTGTCAAAGCAGTGAAATCCCT